TGTATTGTATAAAGCGCTATATAAATAAAGGTGACTCAACCTGACAACTTGATTTTCATTCTTAAAAGTTAACTGATGTAAAAGAATAGGATAGGAGAATGCACTAAGATGTAACAAATAAGACTGTGGGTTCCATTGGTGTTTTCTCTATATTTTGTCTCTTTGGTCCTCTTTATTTTGTTAGACACTTTCTTCCTGCATATCATTCATCTCTGACACTATGAATGTAGTTGTCTTTTATTTAGTTTATTTTTTTAATGTATACTTTTTTCTGTTTATTTCTGTTATATATCAGTTATCTCCACACTGAAATTGTTTGGAGAAAGTTTGTTACTGTCAATAGTGGTGACTCTGTTAGCAAGAAAACACAATAACATGCTGATCACAAAAAAAGAGCAATTATCTGCACTTTTGGCCATCATCTGATTGTTTAAAAAACAGCCAATTATCAGGGCCGATTATATCCTGTCAATCAAAAGGGACCGGAAAAACGTGTCAGACCTGCGTGAAGGAAATATTTATTGTGTAGAATTTAGGGCTGTCCAAGTTAAAGCATTAGTTGCAAGATATTTTTGTTACTAGTGAACTATGAAACAAAAGGGGGGGGGGCATCCTAGCAGTAAGGACCTCAGTTTAATGTCTCATCTTAAGGATAGTGCTTTTTATGGCGCTTTTCCACTGCGTGGTACGACTCGGCTCGGCACAGCTCAGTACGGTACGGCTCGGCTCCGGTTGCGTTTCCACTGCAGTTTAGTATCGCTTTAGAGTGGGTGGGATTATTCACATGTCGTTATAGAAAACAGTTGCGTTCGATCCTTTGCTGGCTGTGCTGATTTAAATCTAGCGGTTCTTTTGTGTTTGTGTCGCAAGTTCAGTGACGCAGGTAGTGACGATTCTCTCCGGCCAATCTGTGATCAGCAGAGTTTACACGTCATGTTTTGGTAACGGTACGGTTCACTTGGAACCTCAACCGAGGTGGTACTAAAAAAAGTACCAGGTACCAGGTACTGTACCCAGTGGAAAACCCCCCAAAAGTGAACCGTACCGAGCCGTACCGTGCCATACCATGCAGTGGAAAAGCGCCATTAGTGTCCTCATCACTATACTGGGGCATCAAGACCCACACAGACCACACTACCACTAACTATAGGTTGAACATAAAATGTATGTGCTTAATACAAGAGTCCAAATTTGGCTACAAAAAGGTGAAGAGACTACTTACTGACTCTGATCCTGATCTGGTTAACTTGCTCACCAAGTGTTTTGGCTTCAATAAACCTGCAAAATGAAATGGCTGATGTGAAAATCCTTGTACATTTGTGGTAAAAAGTTTACATACACCTTGCATAATCAGCACAATGTTCATAGTTTTAACAAAATAAGGGGGATCTTAAAAATTGCATATTGATTTTTATTTAGTACTGTCCTGATGAAGCTATTTCACACAGACATAGACAGCCAGCACGGCTTCTTGCAGGGGACAGCACGGGGTGCCCGCTTAACTCCATTCATGACAGTGGTATATTTAATGTAAATGTGTAAATGTAAAAAGTGTTCTGTTTACTACATCTCTTGGATCACTCAGTAAAAGTGAGCGCTGACCACATATGCCATTGCTTATAAATCCCTATATGTGTGTGACAAGGTTTATAAATTGCCCAGAGAAAAAAAAAATATTGCTCAGTGGTTGCTCTTCCTAAGCTCAGGAGACATAGTTGTGATTCTCATATATGTCTCATTTTATTATCAACAGCATTTCAGATGTTTCTCCTAAAATTCCTAAAGTAGACAAAAATGAGACATGAGAAATATTTGAGACTATGGGCTCAAATGCGGCGCCAGGTACAGTATATGTAATATGGGAGGAGTTGGATCTGGATCCAACCTCGCCCCCTGGATCTTGTGTTCTGCAGTGAGGACCATCTCCTTTAGCATGCAATTTTTTTTTCAAAGAGTTTTTCAATCAAAAAGTGTTGGAGACAAAATCGACTTTGACAAAAAGTGGTGGGGACAAAATATATTTACCCACGTGTCCCATATTGGACAACTAAACATCTCATTAAATAATAATAATACTAATTTTAATAACAGCACTGTAGCACACACTGACCTTTGTTGCAACACAGCTCTGTTATTTTCAATTGATAAACGGTCTTCATGGTCTCTCAGAAAGACTTCAAATGCCTCCTGCTGACCCACAGATAATTCCAGCACTGAAAGAGAAAAGTGCATAGTAGTAAAAGTTAAGAGAATGTGCTCTACTAAGATAATTCAAGCATGTCAACATATATATCATTATATTTAATAAAATGGTATTCAGTTACAAACTCTAGGACTGAAACTCACAAAAACTGTATTAAACTCAGTAATCAGTTTTTGTTTTTTTTGCAAATACATACAGTATGTAATTGCAGTATGTAATATGCAGCCTACTATACACTATTCTTTGTTAATTATTGGTCAAAGAAACAAATTCTAACTGAAGTTTCACAAGTACTTTTGATATTGCTGCTTCACTTCACTCTATAACACACATACAGTATGTGAGACAATAAAGATGGTTACAACAGAGCTTTGTCCACATAATAATAAAAACATCAAATTTTTTTATCCTTTACTCACAACCCAAAACCAACAAAATCAAACAAAAGCTAGTTTTACAATGAGTACCTGAAAAAAACACTCAATGTTGGACAGGTGGCCTAGTGGACAATGCACATGCATGACATATGAATGATCTCAGCTGTAGTTCGATATAGTCATGGATCCACAGAGGTCCTCTCTGGGAAAGGTTTTCCCCTTTTATCGCCTGCTCCTTGAGCACCCAAAAAATAGCATATTTTGAATGTCTCCCTAATCAAACACACCTGATCCAGTTTATCAGCTCATTAGTAGTGACTCCAGACATGAAATGAGTGTGTCAGACGAGACACTAAATATAGACGTTTTGCAGACATGCCAAGTCTTTATCACGCACTTTCTTATTTTTGTCTTGTATAGTTTCAGTAACAATCCAATTATGATATTGTAATAAATCACAAAATCCATATTTAAACCTTTATAAACAGTTATCTCTAGCTTCCGCTAACTGTCGTACGTGCGTTCCGTTCTGGCGGATGACGTAGGACATAGCGTAAGGTCCGGTGAGAAGTGACAAATGGGGATGCGCAACGGAGAGAGCAAAACAAAACACTGGTCACGAATTAGAAGTACAAAACGAAGGGTGCGTCTCAATCAGCTCCCTAGTTCAGTAGTCTGGGCACTGATCAGGGAGTCAGCCATTTTAAGGGCTGCCTCAATTGCCAAATCCTTCCAGTGCACTGGAACGTTCGCTCCCTGAAAAATCCCACAATACACCGCAAAAACTTACCGGAAATTACATCACATTTCTGAAGCGCGAAACATAAACCACACAAGCCAACTCAATAATTATAATGACACGTGATAGAAGATTTGAAAAGACAAACCGTTTTATTAGTATATTTCAGCATAAAGACATATCTCTAGACAGGTAATGAACACATCTAGTTAACATTTATAATTGATATTCGGCTGAAATAATGAAAGAACATGTAACAGAATGATGTGTTTAAAGAGAATAAAAATAATATAAAAAACATGCAATTTTTTTTTCAAAGAGTTTTTCAATCAAAAAGTGTTGGAGACAAAATCGACTTTGACAAAAAGTGGTGGGGACAAAATATATTTACCCACGTGTCCCATATTGGACAACTAAACATCTCATTAAATAATAATAATACTAATTTTAATAACAGCACTGTAGCACACACTGACCTTTGTTGCAACACAGCTCTGTTATTTTCAATTGATAAACGGTCTTCATGGTCTCTCAGAAAGACTTCAAATGCCTCCTGCTGACCCACAGATAATTCCAGCACTGAAAGAGAAAAGTGCATAGTAGTAAAAGTTAAGAGAATGTGCTCTACTAAGATAATTCAAGCATGTCAACATATATATCATTATATTTAATAAAATGGTATTCAGTTACAAACTCTAGGACTGAAACTCACAAAAACTGTATTAAACTCAGTAATCAGTTTTTGTTTTTTTTGCAAATACATACAGTATGTAATTGCAGTATGTAATATGCAGCCTACTATACACTATTCTTTGTTAATTATTGGTCAAAGAAACAAATTCTAACTGAAGTTTCACAAGTACTTTTGATATTGCTGCTTCACTTCACTCTATAACACACATACAGTATGTGAGACAATAAAGATGGTTACAACAGAGCTTTGTCCACATAATAATAAAAACATCAAATTTTTTTATCCTTTACTCACAACCCAAAACCAACAAAATCAAACAAAAGCTAGTTTTACAATGAGTACCTGAAAAAAACACTCAATGTTGGACAGGTGGCCTAGTGGACAATGCACATGCATGACATATGAATGATCTCAGCTGTAGTTCGATATAGTCATGGATCCACAGAGGTCCTCTCTGGGAAAGGTTTTCCCCTTTTATCGCCTGCTCCTTGAGCACCCAAAAAATAGCATATTTTGAATGTCTCCCTAATCAAACACACCTGATCCAGTTTATCAGCTCATTAGTAGTGACTCCAGACATGAAATGAGTGTGTCAGACGAGACACTAAATATAGACGTTTTGCAGACATGCCAAGTCTTTATCACGCACTTTCTTATTTTTGTCTTGTATAGTTTCAGTAACAATCCAATTATGATATTGTAATAAATCACAAAATCCATATTTAAACCTTTATAAACAGTTATCTCTAGCTTCCGCTAACTGTCGTACGTGCGTTCCGTTCTGGCGGGTGACGTAGGACATAGCGTAAGGTCCGGTGAGAAGTGACAAATGGGGATGCGCAACGGAGAGAGCAAAACAAAACACTGGTCACGAATTAGAAGTACAAAACGAAGGGTGCGTCTCAATCAGCTCCCTAGTTCAGTAGTCTGGGCACTGATCAGGGAGTCAGCCATTTTAAGGGCTGCCTCAATTGCCAAATCCTTCCAGTGCACTGGAACGTTCGCTCCCTGAAAAATCCCACAATACACCGCAAAAACTTACCGGAAATTACATCACATTTCTGAAGCGCGAAACATAAACCACACAAGCCAACTCAATAATTATAATGACACGTGATAGAAGATTTGAAAAGACAAACCGTTTTATTAGTATATTTCAGCATAAAGACATATCTCTAGACAGGTAATGAACACATCTAGTTAACATTTATAATTGATATTCGGCTGAAATAATGAAAGAACATGTAACAGAATGATGTGTTTAAAGAGAATAAAAATAATATAAAAAAGAAACCGGTCCTGTCTGTTGTTGATTAATTCCAGCAATGACGTTCTACAATGTTGTCCATTGACATTGTACATAGTCATGTCACCAGAAATTTAGTAATCACTGTCCCAGTGTGCAGTGAGCCAGGGAACTTACCAGTGATCGAATTTGTGTACAAGATATACTGATTCAAGAGCTTGGGAGCTGATTGAGACACACCTTAAGATTTGTAAAGAAAAATGTTAGAGGATTTCGATATAAGCCAAGAGGAGACTGGTTTTCCTTTGCTAAAGCAAGGAAACTTTGCTTCCTTTGCTCCTGTAAACAAACATTGGTTCTCACGAGACTAGCACATTCTCACAGGACCTTACGCTACGCCTACGTCTTCTGCCGGAACAGCGTTCTATTGTGAACGTGTGTACAACAGTTAGCGGAAGATATAGATTACTGTTTATAAAATTTTAAATATGGATTTTTTTTCTTACAAAAACACATCGATTCGCTACGGGAGGCCTTTATTCACCCCACGGAGCCATGTGGGACACTTTTTATGATGGATGGATGTGCTTTATTGGACTTCTTTTGGACTATTGTAAATTAACACCCATCCACTGTCTTTATAAAACTTGTAAGAGTCAGGACATTTTTTAATATAACTCCGACTGGATTCGTCTGAAAGAAGAAAGTCATCTACACCTAGGATGGCTTGAGGGTGAGTAAATCATGGGGTAATTTTTGGGTGAACTATCCCTTTAATACAGTGTTTCTCAACCCTGGTCCTGGGCGCCCCCCAGCACTGCACATTTTGTATGTCTCCCTAATCAAACACACCCGATTCAACTCATTAGCTCATTAAAAGAAACTCCAGGACCTGAAATGGGTGTGTCAGATAAGGGAGACATACAAAATGTGCAGTGTTGGGGGGCGCTCAGGACCAGGGTTGAGAAACACTGCTTTAATAGTTGCATAGCCTTGTCAGTCTTGTCTTTGTTTAATTTATCTTTGTTTGTCTTGTGCCTAAGCACATGGTTGTGTCTTTGTTCGTGTTGGCCATGTGCTCCCCTTGTCCTGCTTCCTTGACATTATCCTGCTGACTAAGAGTCAGTGGCAGTGAATCTGCACTTTTTTTTTTGAGTGGTTGGGCAATTAAAAGCATCCATAATATGTAGCAAATCCTGGTCAGTGAATGATATATAATATAGGGTGTGTGTTCACTCACCTCTTTTTCTGGTCATCAAATGCTGAACATGTGTGTAATCATTAGAGGGGTCATATTTTGCACTCTCTTCCACCTGTTTAGTTGTGGGTGACGTGGATGATTTGTTGGTTAATGGGTACAACAGGGCCAGCTGGGAGGAGACATCTTGAACTTTCTTCTTTTCTTTCTTAAGCATGTTCACTAATATACCTGAGAAATTTAAATTAAGGATAATAATCATTTTATGACAATGATAATTGTTTCATCTTGGAGACTTGTGTGATACAAGAAGAAAGAAATGCAAAACAGTCATTTTTTATTGTTGTTATTCTTCTCCAGTGGGCTGTTAACCATTGTGATTCAATCATTAGTGAGTTGAACTTGAGAACCAGATTTATTTTCAAATCATTTGGACTGTTTTAAACCTATTTATTGCAAAGGTATAACTAAAAAAAACTGAGAAAGTCATACGGGCTTGAGGGTATATAAATAATGATTTTCAAATTTGGGTGAACTACTCATTTAAAGCTTAAACAAACCTTGAATGTATGGTTATCTCAGTATACAGTACATTAAGTACATTTACATTTATATATACTGTAGAGATTTCAGTATATCTCAAGGTTCTGCCACACTCCACATTTTGGTTGACAATTGTTCAACTGTGATGCTGATTATTTAAAAACACACTTGGAGCATGGGAGTGGTGCTCACAAGCACAACATAGTGCTTACAACACAGTGTGCCCCCATTGTACATTTTGAGCCTCTCATATTAGGTTAGGCTATACATTTTCCCGTGTTGTAATGGGAAATGTACTGTGAACACACAACAGTTTTTGCATTCTGCATAACAAAGCCTTTGGAGCTCAGAAGTTGAGCTTTGGTTCACTCGACAATATTGTTGTGGTTATGAGAAGGTGTGCGCCCATGGTGCATGCTGGGCCCCATATACTGAGGTATGACCAACACGTTTTTTTGTTTCGATTGACAATAGCTTATCTTTTGCATTTTTGCATGACAGTTTTCTCACTCGTGCTCATCGCAAAAACACCCTTAGAGGATTTGTACTTTGGTTTACACAACCATAATGTCATGATTACAAAACGATGTGCCCCCATAGTGCATGCTGGGCACAATAAATTGAGTCACGTCCACCTCATCCTGCATTTCAGATGACAATAGCATATCTATGCTTTTTTTTTTTTAAAGCTTTTTTGCTTGTGCTCAGTGGTGGAAATGGACGAAATTCACTAGTGGGATTCACTGGTGGGACAAGTTATGAAGTTTTGGAGATGATTGCCTGATAATTACCTGTCTAATTTTGATCAATCAATCAATCGTTATTAATTAATTAATTAATAATAATAATAAGGTTAATAATAATAATAATAATGTAACGAGTTGGCTGTCTAATCAAGCGCACGACGAAGGAGTAAAGTTCAAGAGAGTATTTAATGCAAATTCCAGGAGTAATCCAAACGTAAATCCACAACACAAACCAAAATCACCAAAACAATACCAGACAGAGAACTGAGGGAAACAGAGGACTTAAATACAGGGTAGAATGCAATCAGGGAGAAACAGAACATGTGTGGGGCTAATTAACAACCAATGAGACTAATTAATTACTAAGGAAACAGATAAACCAGGGAATTAATGTGGGGGAACAGAAATACAGAGAAAACCAAAATGTAAATCACAGAACAGAAACATGACAAATAACAATACAATATTTTATAATCTGGTCAAAAAGTTCATTAATATTTTCTATAGGAGGAAAAATCTGTCATGCAGCCATTTTGAAAGATTTTCTATAATTCATCATTAATGACCTCTTATATATATATATATATATATAGGAATAGAAAACATTTGTAAAATGTTTGTCAAAGGTGTTATAACATGCTTGGGCTTTGTTTTCATCCATACTTGCAACTCAATGTTCTGACAATGAATTAGGCCAATCACATGGTTCAAATTCAAATTTTCTTTCCATCTTAACTCTGTGCAATGCCTAATACCGTAATTGTTATAAGCAAAACCTGCTTCGCCACATGAGGTCATGATACTGTTTTCACTCAATATGCATTTTGAGCTAGACATCATTAACAGAGTGTACATGTAATCTGATAAAAGCTGGATAATTTTATGTACATAATCACATCTTTATCCATATCAAATTTTGTTCAAAATCAAATCCATATCATATTTGTTAAAGTAACGGTTTCTGTTTAGTTTTTCAGTCAAAATCTTTGTTCATCCTAGTACATTTACCTGAAGTGGTTAGATTACCTCTCTAGGGTGATCATTTCATTAAGCATATAAATTGCCTGGAGATGGTGTCAGTTTTTATTGCTTAACCCAGTTCCTTCAAGACTGCCATGTGGTTATGAGAAAGTGGTTATGAGGGCTTTGTAACTAAACCACCGGGGGAAATGCACTCTCACACAAAGAAAGTGACAGACAAAGTGAACAAAGTGACAAAATAAACCAGGTAAATGGAGTTTCCAGAGTTTTCTTTTTCCTCCAATCCCATTCTAATCCCTAAATTGTTTTTTTTGGTTAAGAAAAGTCAAAAGACTAAACAAAACTTCTGAAAAAACATTAAACTACCATGCATCAACATAAATTGCATGTGGTTCTTCTGATATCAGGAAATCTTTTTTTTTTTTTTTTAATTTTTAGATATTTTTTTAATTTTGGTTTTTATGTTTTAGAGAAAGTGGTTATGAGGGCTTTGTAACTAAACCACCGGGGGAAATGCACTCTCACACAAAGAAAGTGACAGATAAAGTGAACAAAGTGACAAAATAAACCAGGTAAATGGAGTTTCCAGAGTTTTCTTTTTCCCCCAATCCCATTCTAATCCCTAAATTGTTTTTTTTGGTTAAGAAAAGTCAAAAGACTAAACAAAACTTTTTTTATTTTTAGATATCCCAAAACAACCTAAACCATTCTAAGTCTGATGAAAAAAAAAAAAAAACACCAGGATAACTGCTGTTCAAATAACACAGCTGGACAGTTGCCCAAAATGGAGAATGTGGTGGATGTGAGTCATTATAAAGGGCCCAAAATGCACCATGGGGGCACACCTTTTCCTAACCACAACATTATGGTTGACTGAACCAAAGCACAACTCCTGTGTTTCAAGGGCATTGTTGTGCAAAAACAAGTGAGAAAATGCCCCAGGATAACTGCTGTTCAAATAACACAGCTGGACAGTTGCCCAAAATGGAGAATGTGGTGGATGTGAGTCATTATAAAGGGCCCAAAATGCACCATGGGGGCACACCTTTTCCTAACCACAACATTATGGTTGACTGAACCAAAGCACAACTCCTGTGTTTCAAGGGCATTGTTGTGCAAAAACAAGTGAGAAAATGGTTGTTCAAAGCACATTGTGTGGAAAGTGGAATGTGGAAAGTTAAAAGGGGCTGAATCGCAAGTTTTCATACTTGAATGTGCAAACTCCTCAAAGAATACACCGCGCGTGGTCTGGGTTAAGCAAGACAGAAGTAGCCGCAAATACATCCCTTTATGGCATCTGTTATGCAATGCCTCAGAGGGCAGTGTTAGCACCATCAGCCAATGAATTTCCATTATTCTATATAGGCTTCACCTGGAGGGTGTTCCTATAGCATCAGCTAATGATGAAGCATCAAAGTGAACCTATGAAAGGGAACTTTTAATATCATATTGCTGAAGATGACTCCAAAGCGTTATGTGACACATATGACAAAGGTCATATGATGTCACTTGTGCTTATATGGTATGTAGATTTATATGGTATAAGACTGTAAGCTTTATCACTCATGTTCTTCAGCATTATATTTCAATTAGGTAGCATAAGATATCATCAGGTCAGATATAGATCACCATATAGATCAGGGGTGTCAAATTCACTGTCCTGCAGAGTTTAGCTCCCATCCAAATTAAACACACCTTTAAAAAAGCTAATCATGGTCTTCAGGATTACTAGAAACTTCCAGGCAGGTGTTTTGGAGCTGGTTGGTAGTCTGATGATTATACTTTAATATTGCAGCTACTTTAAACTCTGTTGTTTGAAGAGGAACCTAGAAAGTCTAACAGTTTTCCAACTGAAGAAAAAAATGCATTTTTATTAAAGCGGTTGTTAATAAAAAAAATTAAAATTACATCACATATCATTTACTCACCCTCATGTCATTTTAAAGACGCAAGACTTTCGTTAATCTTCAGAACACAAAATAATTTTTTTTTAATATTCTCTACCATGCCCATCTAATGAAATTCCATGCAACCAAAAGTTTTATGCATTATAAAGTACAAAAGACATTGTAAAGGTAATTTGTGTGAATTGAGCCGTTTAATCCAAGTCTTTTGAAGAGATGTGATTGCTTGCTTGATGCATGAGAACCAAGATTTATTCTTCCTTGTCAGACGATCACATTTGAGCTTCTGTGATTACCATATTTGGTATGCCCTACGTGTGTTGTCAATTTTTATATAGTAATTAAAAGTCTAAATTAAATCTGTTCATCATATAATTCGATCGCGTTTCTTCAAGAAGACTGGGATTAAAAGGGATAGTTCACCCAAAAATGAAATTTCTGTCATTAATTACTCACCCTCATGTCGTTCCAAACCCGTAAAACCTTCGCTCATCTTTGGAACACAAATTAAGATATTTTTGATGAAATCCGAGAGCTGTCTGACCCTGCATAGACAGCAACGGAACTACCATGTTCAAGGCCCAGAAATGTAGTAAGGACATTGTTAAAGGTGCACTAAGCTATTTTTGCCAAATGATGTTGATATTTGAAAGCACCAAAACAAACACGCCCATACCCCAACAGGACCTAGCCCCTATTTTGATAACTCCACCCCACACGTACGTACACAACCCTGGCAGCGATGATGGCAGAATCTGCTATGCTTGCCGGCCGCAGCATATTCAAGCAAAAGCCAACACAGAACAGTTGTGTGAAAAAGCAAAATCAATGTAACTCACCTATCAAGAAGAAACAAAGCAACCTCGGCATCCGAGTCAGGCCTTCCCGCTCCTTGAGTTCTCTCCACTGCTGGAAGCTGCTCCGATATTTACGCGGGTCCTACCTCTTGCCTGATCGTAACCCTTCTTTTTAATGTTTTGTTCCTTCGAAATTTTCCTTTTTTTATCTGCCATCTCTCGCTATCTATAGTCGATCTGCTAATAAATATCCTGTGCACTCACTGAGCACTCTCTTCTCCCTACCATTTCTAGACATGCCCTTTACTGCTGATTGGCTGCGAGTGTGTTTTGGGACTCGGTTCAACCAAGCGGCAACCTTCTGGTCTCTCTCTTGAAACCAACACGTTAGTGACTTAAACTGCAATTCATCGACTGGCCGCTAGAGACTGGCTCCAAAAGGGAGTCAATCCCATAGATGCCCCATGTTAAAATGTCCAACAGCAGAAAAAAATATGTTTATAGCCGTCAGAATGCCAAAAGAATGACAAATCTCTCAGTTTTCATTAAAAATATTTTCATTATTGCTGAGAAGATACAGTGGTCAAGAACACAAATTTTCCCAGAAAATGTGAAACTTAGCCATAATTGTGATTAAGGATTTGTTTAAGTATTATTACAAAATAGGGGAAAACGTATTACAAACTATATAAAAAAATCTGGTTGTTTGACAGGAAAAAAAAAAGTTTTAAGTGGTTAAGTTATTTTTATTTGAACCAACTAATTGGCATTCATTTGAATAATAGCTTTAATTATTTATAATTTGAGTAAAGGATACTGATCTCATTATCACGGTGGGTCAACATGTCCCGCAGCTTCTGGACTTCTGCGTATGATTTTCTTTGCTCTTCATCAGAGACACCCATTAAAGGAGTACTGCCATTACTGCCATTTTGAGCACAGGATCCCTCTCGTACCCTCACCTGAAGAGAAAGGAAACCTGTTTGCTTGTGTGATATGTAATACATTTAAATGTTGGAGAATTACTTACATGGAGCTAGAATGTAGTCTCCTTTTATTTTAGACAAGAAGATCGTAAGCATTTTTTATTTTTTTTTAAGAAGAAAAAAAGTATTGTTCAGGGCACACAACAAAAATACTGACATTCCACAATGTTTCTGTTACTATTTTAGACGTTAAGTGAACAAGTCTAACATAAATCTAACAATGTGTTATTTGTGCTTGCTGTTGCGCCTCAGTTCAAATGGCACGTGAAGTCCTCTGTTGTATTTTGTGAAGAGATTTACTTCCTCCTGGCTGACCTTCTTCCAAATTAACTTCATTCCCCGGGCCTCAGACTCTGCCATCTGCTTCCACACTGAGGTGCCCAGGGATTTAAAATGCTCTGAGAGAAAGCAGTTTGCCCTGGGACCACAGGAGGATCTAGTGCACCAGTATGCATAGAAGGTGTGGCCTCAGACCCCCCGATGATTTACAGTGGGTACGGAAAGTATTCAGACCCCCTTAAATTTTTCACTCTTTGTTATATTGCAGCCATTTGCTAAAATCATTTAAGTTAATTTTTTTTCCTCATTAATGTACACACAGCACCCCATATTGACAGAAAAACACGTGTGTACATTAATGAGGAAAAAAAATTAACTTAAATGATTTTAGCAAATGGCTGCAATATAACAAAGAGTGAAAAATGTAAGGGGGTCTGAATACTTTCCGTACCCACTGTATGTATGAGACTACAGATGTGTTGTCTGTGCAGACAAGGTTGTGGTAGCCTGCGAGTTCTGGGAGAAAGTACCCCAGAGTTAGAAATACAGCCACCCATCCTGTAAGGGAAGCGTCTTTCATTAGCGACTTTCAATGACACAACGATTCATAAACTTGATTGTGCGGAACTGGTTGTCTCTCGGGGTAAACCCCTTGGTTCTGAGCCACCACTGTAATGGTCTCACATACAGAAGGCCAAAATGTATCAAGTTGGATGCAGCTGCCATAACACACAACAGTAGAGTATGGTTTAACTGACACAGATCTATAATGGGATGCATACCCCCATCCTCCTTTGGAACTATAAAGTACCGACTGTAAAACCTGGACTCTCTCTTTCAGGAGGAGGAATACGCTCTATGGATTGCTTTGCCAAGAGAGATAGCACTTCCTATTCTATTACCACAACACCCCGTTGAATCTCGGTGCGTGAGAAACAAATTGGATTCTGTACCCCTTCTCTACTGTGTGCAGGACCCACTGAGACACATTTGGCAGAAGTTTCCAGGCTGCCAATTATCAACCAAGGCAGCCAGCCTCTCAAGGCTGATCTCGGGTATGCATGAAGAACTGAGTTCGGTGTCCTGAAGCAACTGACCGGAAGGAACCTCTGGATCCTCTCGACAACCAAACATACAGCATTGCTGAAGAGGCCAGGAGGAGACAGCGGGGCATCTAGGAGGAATGTTTTACCCTTCTCTTTGATGCCAGATAGATTCATCCAAAGGTGTCTCTCCATAGCCACCAGTGCCATCTCCTTAAGGCTGGAATACATTACACGATTTTGTCACGTAGTGCATGGTCACAGACACCAATTTTTTAGCTTCAGACTATGATTCTATCCAGTTGGAAGATATCAAACGTTTGATATTAGGAGCCAATTTTAGAACACATTGTTTTTATTTGTCATGCGTCTCCTATCAACAAGTCGCATGTTTCTGCATGAGTTTGTTGTGATCGGAACTACTTTAAATTTTGGTAGTGTGTGATCCTCAGTCATTTAGTGTATGATGGCCAGTTTTTCCTCTGTGACTATTACGAAGTCTGTAAGTGTATGATGCCCATTGTTTTAAAATTTGTTCAGATTTTAAAAGTTGTGTAGTGTATTACAGCCTTTAGTGGCATGGAGAGACAAGTCGGTGGCTTGACTCAGCTCTTTAATATCATCTGGCCCAACCTCCCCATCTTCGTCCTGGTCCTTAAGCAGGTATGCTTGCAAGATGGTCATTTTATGCAAACAAGCACCCGTCTGACCTGCCGCCACATATGCCTTGCCCACCAATGATCACCAAACATCGGGCCTTTAGGGACGACGCAACGTCAGGGGAGAGCATCTCTGGGCAACCCCATAGCCATTCTCCCTCAGCCCCAAAATCGATGCATAATTCCATATTTTTCAATCGCACTTCGGAGTCTGTGCACTTCACATTCGGACACAGCTAATGACTTATTCATTAATACATTATCCGCCACCTATTGGCAGTTTTAGTTTCTTATTTAGAGTATAATTTCATTAAAAAAAGATTTCATATTTCCATATTAATAAAGAAATCTAAAAAAAAATTATATTAATAAAAAATAATAATTATGGGGATAGTTCACCCAAAAAAAAAAATGAAAATGAAAAAAGATAATTTTGTCTATGTATATAAAATATGTCTATTTGATGCTTTTCTCATATAATACAATAATGGCTTTAAATTATCTTTTGGGGGTGATTTCTCAGACAAATTTGATTAATTAATTGTCACATTGTGTAATTAATTAGATTAAAAATTTTAATCGCTTGACAGGCCTAATTTAAACCAAACTTGGTTTGGTCAAAGGGTCATGTTCATAGTGCCACCAACTGGCAGCAGGAAGTGTGTAACTTATAACATGCTTTGAAATAGCTTCAAACATGGTTAGAATAATGTTAAGACCCAGCTGATGTAAAACTGCAAAAGCATTCTTGATCTTTAATAGTTTTACCATTGTAATACTGTAAGTGCTAGTTATTTTGGCACACATATTAGAGCTGTCTGCCGTTAGGTGTTAGCAAAATCTAAACAATGGGCACCCCTCATTAAATTATACTAACGCGATACATATATCGTTCTCATCAAAACTTGTGCTCATGTGTATTTTTCCTAGGTGAGCTGGAGGGAACTACTGAGCTAAAATTGTGTCTACAGTTAGTGTGTTTACATCATGTCGAGAAGACACTGCATGTGTTTTCAGCCTCGCTGGGCATTCTTGCACAGTTCCCACAAGTGCACCTCAAATAAGTAAATAATAATAATGAATGCAATAAAACTGCTGTCATATCACGTAAAGTACCACATACAAAAGTTTAAACTTTCCTGTCCTGAACAAAGTCATGCTTGCGATGGATTTTCCGGTTGAGCGACTGCACTGGTATCATCCCCGGACTCAGGCTCGAATTGATAAGGTAATATCAATTATATATTATAGCATCTTTGTTTACAAGTAACCCTCCGGAACAAAAAAATAATTAATGAATGCAATAAAACTGCTGTCATATCACGTAAAGTACCACATAAAAAACTTTCCTGTCCTGAACAAAGTCATGCTTGCGATGGATTTTCCGGTTGAGCGACTGCACTGGTATCATCCCCGGACTCAGGCTCGAATTGATAAGGTAATATCAATTATATATTATAGCATCTTTGTTTACAAGTAACCCTCCGGAACAAAAAAATAATTACGGTAATGGGCGTTTCAGAGGGTATCTCTCCAGGATCAGGGTTGGAGACCCCTGGTTATGGCAATGTTACTAGGTGTGGGAGTGGGGCTGCCGCCTTTACTTTTGTTTTGTGTTTTTTTTTATTTTTTATTATTAAAGTTTTATGTTTAAATGTTTGCCGGTTCCCGCCTCCTTCTTCCCCGATCTATGAATTGCGTTACACTAGGCTACCCTCTAGATTATGGCAATGTTACCAGGTTCTTATCTTGGGAACAAATTTTTTGGTATAGCAGTTAAAACTGACCCACAACCCAAACCCTAACCCTAAAACAACATTCGTGGGTAAGTCATCCTGATTAGATTTTCAGGACACCTTGCCTGCTTGCACAAAGGCTCTCCGGCAATTTTCTGTAAAATTTCCTACATCAAAGACATGTGAACTCAGTGTGAAAAGAGCCACAGAAGTCTTAATGATCCAAAGAACACATCATAGTCTTCTTACAACAGCTCACATTAACACACATTCAAATCTCTACACATTCACAAAATATCAGATCAGTTCATGGCCAAAGTGACGTCTTTCTGGGACTTTTAAAATTCCTAGATTGGTCTGGTACCTGTAGTCATGCTGGAATTAACATATTAATAGAACAGAAGACGTTGAAGAACAATGCAGAGGAAAGGCTGAAAGACTAGGTAGGAAAAATTAGAAGATTTGATGAGAAGAGAAGATGCATGACATTGATGATCAAAGAACAAGACATAAAAGAACACAACAAACAATAATCAAAATTAAGTCATACCTTTAGCAGAGAGAAACAAAAGTGGATTTTTCTCATATCAGGCCCAAGGTTTAATGTTACTTCACTGTCAGGTTCCTCCAGATACACATCTATCTGCTCTTCCAACCTGCAAAACAGGAATAATACTCATGTCTCCCACTATAAAACAACTGCATCAACAAAATAGGAATTTTGGCACCAACAGCCTTGTGGGCAGCGCGCTGACATATAGCGTTGTTGCATTTCGAGTCCCTGCTCGCGGACGGTTCCCGATCCTTTCCCTCCTCTCTCTCCCACTTCACTTTCTGTCTAAATACTGCCCTATCGTAATAAAGGCAAAAACGCCAAAAATAATATATATTTAAAAATAATTTTTAAAAGGGATTTCATTTATTTTAGTGAGAATTGGCCATCTGAGGTGGCATGAGCAACAACTAGGGGCCCCATAATGGGGGAAAGGTTAGGACAATTCCAAGGGTCCTAAACAAAAAGGTGTCGCCCGACGGGATCAGTGAGGGGGCCCATTGCAAACACGATTCAGGGAGCTCGAGCCAGTTTACTGTCCAGGTTGCCCAGAAACCTTAGCAGCATCTCTGGCAACAACTACCACTGGCTGTGTGGTTTAGGTGTATCCAGCAATGTAGCAAAGTTGGGGAAAATGTTTGCTTTATGGAAAAAGGCTACGGTTAACCTCACATGATATTCATCTTGACAAATACTGTAATCAAGGCAAGATGTGAGCAATTT